TTTGCACTAGCAATACCAAATCAAATTAGATCAGTCTCTACCTTGTGCAGCTAACAGGGTAGCCAGGAAATAGACAAGTAAACAGACATGACAATTTAGCATGGTAACTTCAAGGATAGAGGTGGGCCTGGGGCTTCCTGGGAACTTTGGAAGGTGGGGGAGGAGGCAGCCGAGGAATGCTTCCTGAGAAGGAGATATCTGCTCGGTGTTTATTTAGAACCTATCATGTGCCAGAGGAAAAGACCTGGACTGTGTTTTCCAGGAACCTATCATCTAGCTGGGGAGACAAGACCTATACACAAATCACTTACAAGACAGTATGTATTAAAGGTGCTATTTGCCTGCTTGAGATGGGGCAGTTCCTGGCAGTTTAGTGACAAGAGACAACATGCAGGTCATTGGGCAGAGGTTCACAACTGTGTCCCCAGCACCTGACACACCATAGGTGCCTGATAAATAATTGTGGAAGGTAGGCAGGCTGCAGAAAGCAGCAGTGGTGTCATGTCTTAAAAAGCCTTGGCTTTAGAATCAGAGGACTCCTGGTCTGGCCCTGCCACTAATTATTTATGGGAGAATCACTTAATATCTTTGATCCCCAATTGCCTTAACTATAACAATCAGCTTCCCAGAATTACTACCAGGTGCAAATAAGAGAATGTGCTTATAAAGGCCACTTAGTAAACTGTGCAACACTACAGAAATGAAAAGGACGATTCTCATTTGTCACACACATAATATCACTTGATTTGATGACCAAAACAAGCCCATGGAGTTGGTGAACTATCTTCACCAAGGTACAGAAAAGAAAAGTTTAGATCTGAGGGGTTCAATGGCTTGCCTGAGGTTAATGGACAGTGACAGAACAAGTAAGCAAGTTGACATGAACCTAAATCAGATAATGCCAAAATCTGAGTTTTTTCTCTAGCTAGGAATATTGTCACAGAGTCAGATTCATGCGAGGTGTGGGAGGGAAAGTAGCATTTTTATGGGAGCAAGTGATTCACCCATGACTCGTGTCAATTCCTAGATATTAAAAATTTATATAATCCCTTTCCGGGGTCTGACCAAAGCAAACCGTGAGCCCATGTTTATTTGACAAGAATACTGGAGCATTTCTTCCATATTAAAATCTTTGCCTATAATGCTCGCTATAGTGCAGTACAAGGCCAAGAATGAGAGGAGGCTAGACAGGAGATGACATTTTACTGTTTGCTCCTAATCTTACCGCTGCTAGAGTCATTAAGCCTCTGCAAGGCAGGAATAGGAACCTTTGCTTTGTGGATTTGGAAGGAATTCCTATTATGCTATAATTCCAGAACCTGAGATACATCTGAAAAAAGGGTCAAAATGACAAGGTTTTTCCATCTCTCCTGCCATAGAAAGGTGTCTGCTTTCTCTATAACTTCTGGAGATTTGCGTCCCTAAACCGCACTGATCTCCTCCACTGCCATGCCATTCCTCTGTTGTGGGGACTATCCAAACTTAAGCAAGGTCATCCAAATCAGTTAAGGCTTCTCCTGCTCTTTTAGACAAACTTCGGCAGGAGAAGGCCCAGGCAGCAAGTAGCAGGATGATTAGATTTCCAGCTCCTGGCCCCCTCCACCCTCCACAGCTGTCATTCATGCCCCCTCCGACCAGAAGCAGATTGCAGATGGGGCTAGCCAGGCTCTATGGCCTATCATGATGGGAAAGTGGGAAGTGTGTTGTTGTTGATTTTAAATTTAAGTTGCACAGGTTTTCCAGAATTGACTACACCAAAGTGAATTATTCACCTTGCCTCTGGGATCTTTGCTTTTGCTTTTTTCCATGAGTACTCTTGGTAGTTATGCAGGTAAGCAGGCTAGTAGACTTCACTAGGAGTTTATATTTCACATGTGCCTCCACCTGAAATGTAACAGCATTGGATCAAGAAGTAAAAGTCTTACTGCAAAGAGGAGTGACAGTCAAGAGACCTGGGTTCTAATTAATAAACTACAAAGAAAGAGTGAAACACATGTGGCCAAAGGCTGAGAGGTTCCCTTCCTGACTATTTTTACCAGACATAATGTCTTGGCTAAGTCACCACCACATTTGGACTCTGTTTACTCATTTATAATACAAGCAGTTAACATTTATTGATCTTACTGTATGTGCCAGGCACTGAATTACCTTATATACATTAATTATATTTAATTCTCAAACCCTAGAAAGTAGACATACCATCTCAATTTAACAGATGAGTCTACTGAGGCTCTATAAGGTTCATTAACTTGCCATGTGTTCCAAAACAGAGGAGCTCAGACCTGAACAAGAGTGCACGCCTTTAAGCCCCTGCTAAACTGAGAACCACCAGACTACCTAGCTCTCAGGTTTCTTTGAGGATGAAATGATTCAACGTAGTCCACGTGTTTCTCTAGCACTCAGTAGTGCTCGACAAAGGTTAGCAATTACTGCGGTATTTTCTTGCCTGGTGTTTTCTCTGAACTACAGGAAAGCACTATCTAAACCTCTTCTGCTGACATTGCATGGGATAGGGAAGCAATGCTATTGCTCATTCCATAACAAAGGCCATAGCACGTGACTATTTCAAGGAAACCTGGGAGGTCAGGGAGCATTTTAATTAAAACATCAACATGACAGGGAAAAAGGAACAAGCCACAACCAAGGTCCCAAAAGCAGATTTTTCTTAGAAATGCTGGTATCTCTCGAGGAGGAAAGGGCTGGACTTATAAGCAGCAGGGGAAGATCTGCTGACCAGGAGCTTTGCTTGAAGAAGAAAGCATGGGCAGAAAAGCATGGCCCCCAAAGAAGCACTTTAGCATTTTCCTTTGCCCATCCTGGAGTCAGGTCAGAAACCTAGAACCACGCCTATCTAAAAGACTCTGCACGTTCCACCTAGGCCTTTGCCACAAAGTGAGTTTCCAGGCATGACAGCATTTGATTCTTACAGCAATCCCCTTGAGGGAACCCGAACGCCATTCCCATTTTACAGATGAGGAAAATGAGGGTTAGAGAACCAATGACTCACCTAATTCACACACCAGGGAGACACTCTAAAGACTAGTCTCTTTCCACCTCGTGTGCCCAGGAGCACCTGCTAGGCGAGCCAGAAATAATCCCATGTAGAGAGAGTGAAGGCACATGATGTTCCTGTCCCTATACTGTTCTTATCCACCACATTTCTAGGTTACAGTGTCCCTCAAAGCATTCAATTAACAGATCCTCCAACTGTCAAAAACACCTGTTCAGACCTCAGTAAAAGATACTGTGCAACTGTCTGGCTTCCCTGACAAATGCCTTTTTCAGGAAAAGCCATTCTTCCTAGAAAACTCAATCCCACAACTGTCAATTTGGAGCAAATAGTAAAATTACCTTTTCATTTTTCAGTTTTTGAACACAAAGATCCTTAGTCCACCTTTAAGAAACTACTACAGTTGCCAAATGGACTGTTTTCTTTTAAAGGTTGGAAAGAATTCTACCAGCCTCCCTTCCCCCTCCCCAAATTCAAACTGTTGATTGTGTGCCTGGTTTACGATGTTATTAAAAAACAAAGAGGGGTCTCAAAGTTTACAACCAACCCCCAGATTGGGCCAATCAAAAGAAAAACTTCATGAATGTGGTTCACATAATATCAGCAGCTCACATTTGATCCAGAGTAGGCAAGATAAGCTAACTGCCTATCCCCTTGAGCAGTTCATTTGGATCAGTCAGCCATCCTGAAACGTCAGTCTGCAAGATTGAAGGGGGTTTTGAAATAAGCCAGGCACAGGCTTGAACCCCAATGTTTATTAGTTGTAGACTTTGAGCATATCCTTCACCCCTTTGAGCTTCAGATTTTCCATCTGTATAATGGGGACAATAGCACTTATTTCACATTTAGTGTTCTTAACATTAACTATCTTTTTTCTCAGCTTTTTAATAGAGGCCAAAGATAAGTTTCAGGCTATGTTCAACAGAAAGGCAACTCAGAATCTACAAAAGAGAATTTATGACCCTGGTGGACGTGATGCCTGTCCCTTTCACCCACATGGCAGGGATTCCAGGGCAAAGAACAAACTTAGAAAATACGGGAGGTAAGGAATGAATGGCTGTGGGAATGAATGTAGGACTCACAAATTCCAAGACTGGATTGCAATTACTCTCCCCCTCCCCTACCCCAAATGGACACATCTAAAACAGCGTGGTGACCTTCCAAGTAGGGTCCCAGTAGGCCATACTCCAATTCTCAAAATATTTCTGGACCTTGTCAAAGTCCATGGCACATTTTGCAATACCCTCAATGAGGGCTTCACCATTCAGGGGAAGACCTAGACATGTAAGTCTGGACTTTACTCCTGCCTATGAGTAACCTGCTCAGCAATTAAGAATTTGCAACATAGTTCAGTATTCATGATCTTTTTTACTCCTTATTGCAATGATTTTAAAGATGTACAGCTTGTTAGTAGAGGGCCAGGTCTAGAACGTATTTCTCTGGATCCCAAGTTCTATTTACCTTGGCACCACAGCCACTAGGCCAAGAGAAGTAAACAATATGCCAAAAAAGATCAGTGGCATTATCACCATTACAGCAGTACAGCCATGGGGTGGAAAGAACACAGAAAATAACTGTGATAACTGACAAGGTGTTTCCCCCTCTCTGGGGCTCAACTTCAAAGTACAGTGGCTCAGAGATCAGACTCCGGGATAAGGGACAACTAGTTTCAAATCTCAACTCTTCACCTTATTAACCAAGTAATCTTGGGCAAATTACTTTCACTCTGTGGACCTCAGTCTTTTAATTTGTAAAAGAAAGATAAGGACAATGTCTAGACCTCATTGGACTGTTGTGAGGATAACGTATGTAAAATATTTTCAGAAGGGGTGATTAGCATGTATTTAGCTCACACTAACTTCATGAAATAAATAGTATTAATCAAATGAAATTCTCCTTGGCAAAAGTCTCTGTTGGCTCAGATATTCTCAATATGAGAATCCAGGAGGCGGTAAGACAGGAGCGAGCATGGCGGGGTCTGGGCACTTACCGCAAGGATGGCAACGACGATGCCCACAGCGCAGAGTACGGCATCGTTTATCGTCTCTCCAGTTTTCAGCGGGTACTTGATGCTCTCATCATTGCAGTAAAACCCTCGGTGGTAAGGCTTGATGGTGCTTGTCTCGATGATGAGGAAGGGCAGGCCCGCTGGTCAAGGTGGAATCACGGCATACACCAGGAAGAAAAGGAAGAAAGGAGAAAACATCAGTGCAAGGAAGCCCAAGAGGAACAACCTGAGGCAAAGGCCACCCCGAATCACACTGATAGTGATGTTAATTCCTCTCATTTGTGGGAACCTACAGCCTGTCGAGCTTGCACTACATGCATCCCCTTTCCTTCTTTTGGGGAAAAAGCCAGGGGCATGACATCATCCTCTTCTCTTGCCCAGGAGCTCGGAGCAAGGCAATGGAAGAGGCAGGGCAGGGGTTTTCCACTGCTCTACAACACCCTGTTAAAAATTAAAGCCCAATTCACAACAATTACTAACACAGTCCCAAATCTTATGACACCTCATTATGCCTCTAAGGGCACTCATTCCTTAGGTCTAAACATTTCCTCTTTGAGAAGCTCATCCTAAGGCTATGCTGTATAGAGTAGAGAAGGCCCTAGAATCAGATAACCTGGATTTGAATCCCAGATCCACCACTTTCTAGTGGCATGACCTCTGGTTCTCACTCCATCTCCTGAACCTCAGTTTCCCCAAAATAAAGTGAGTTGTGGTGATGGCTACAGGAGATCAAAGCACGAAAAACCTCCAGCATAGTGCCTGGCACATAGAAGTTGCCCCCTGAATGCCACTTTCACTGTCCAAAGAGTAACTGACCAGACTGAGCAGAGTTGAGCTCAGCCCTGCTGCCTGCAGCCCTAGAGAGAGCCCAGGGGAGCCTGGGAGCAGCACACAGCTCTTGCAGCTGCTGCTGGTTATCAGTGGCCAGCTCAGATGTCATTCTCTCAAAGGTCATGGCAAACGGATTCCATCAATGCCAGGAAAAGTCCTTCAAAACCCTGAGGCAAAAAGCAAGGGCCCGCAGTAACTCTTGCCTGGACACTACAATAGCCTCCTAATCAGTCTCCTGGCCCCCACTGCTCCTGTACATATCCCCCGTGTACTTCCTGAAGGGCTCTGACCATGAGCATGTCACAGCCTTGCTAAAGCCTCCTCAATGGCTCCCCATTGCACATGGGAAGATAAAGTCTATAAGAATGACCTTAGGAGCCCCCCATGACCCAAACCTCTCCTCTCTAGCTTCAAGGTCTGCTGCTCCCCTTCACATACCCTCCATAAAAACATACACAGAGACCCTGTCTTGGTTCATGCTATTCTCTTAGACTGAAATACCTCTTCCTCGCCTACTACCCAAGTGTAATCCCAAGAGCCAATGCTACCTCATAAAGCAAAAGAACTTTTACTGGATCTCAGGACTAGGGAAGACCACAAAAACTTCTTGGTAAAAATGGCATCGACTGTGCACCAACAATGTGTTAGATACTTTATACTCATTTTTTCACTGAATCTTTCAATAATCCTGAGAGGTCATTTTAAAACACCATTTAAATACTATTATCGCCCATCTTCAAGTGGAGAGGAGAGAGACTCAGAGAGAATATTTAGTTCATTCAGGGCCCTTAGTCCACCCACCCACCCCTGCCCCCGTGCCTAAATCCCTAATTAATTTAACTTTGCAAATTGGTTTCATCCAAATGTGAATTTCATTAGCTGAAAAATCCCAAGATAAGTAGTTGTTTAAATGATAAAATTCCATTTTCATGTTTTTCAAAAAGAATTAAATTCATGTCATGTTGCTCAAAGCCCCAGACTGTGTCTAAAAAAAATGTACCACGAACTCCACAATTTTTCAATTACTTTGGTTCAGACCGGCAGCGATAAAAATGCTCACTTTCTAAAAAGTGTATTTATGTATCACTGTGCATACACACATGGATTTATTTGGTTTTATTCTTTGGATTTATTTGAATTCTACGGCTATTTATTTTGTGACCCCTAACTGCTTCCTGCTAGAACAACAATTTACTTTATCAAATTCATACTGGTGCTTTGAAAAGAAATAACAGCAACACACCACAGTATTGTGCCTGACCTTCTCAAAGTAAACACAGAGGGTCCCTGGAAGGCAATCGCCATTAGCTTTTGAAACTCTGTCTCTGCAGTGGAGGAGAGGGGTTGGGGGAGGCAGTGGATAAATGTCCTGGCTTAGAAATGACAAGAACAGTCAGCTGATCTTTTTGGGTCAAGGGGAAGAGAAGAGATATCATGTGGGCCTGAACAGTCTTCATTCTCCTGCCTAAACATTTTTAAATGTGGGCAAGTAGTATACGAAATGTAGCTGAGGGGCCAGCAGTACAATATTAATAGTCCACTTAGAAAGTTCCACACATTGTGATAAAAATCTTTAGCTCCGAGTCCGAGCCTGGCTGCAGCCTCTATGGTGCCTAGGAGCCAAAGCGTTGCTAATAAACTCTGTGAAGGAACAGACCCTGAGTTCCCTACATTTGTGCTACACTCTTAGGCCTCCAGCTTCTATTTTTAATAGTGTTCACATGATAGGCCTGTAAAACATGTTTCTGAGGACAATAAAACACATATAAAAGAGCTTTGGAGTTAGACAGGACTGGATTAATGATCTCGACTCTGCTCCTATGACTTGAGTGATTCATCACACATCTCCAAAACTCCCTTTCCCATCTGTTCAATGGGAAGAGTGAAGTCTAACTTCAGGATTGTTGTGATGATACAATAAGCTAACGTATTCAGTCATTATTTATTCAACAAATATTTATTGAATCTAACTATGTATATCAAGTACAAGGAACACAAAGATGACCCAGACTGCTCTCAGGGAGCTTACAATCCAGTAGGGAAAGAAATGGATAATCAAAATTAGCCCAGGAAGTTTTAGTTGGAAGAAAGTCAAAGCAACCCCACTGGGTAATGTCAGCACAGAGTCTGGAGCACATTGTTGATACTCAGTAAATGTTAAAAGGGAAAAGGAACAAAAAGTCCCATAGAGATGGCTAGAAAAGAAAATCTGTCTGGTCAGTGCTTTTGCCCTCTCTTAAACTGGGAATAATCCAATTCCTTTTTCTTCTTTCTTTGCCTATGGCTTGGGGAAGGTTTCCGGTTCTGATTATGTGGATGATGACCACAGACAGACAAGAAGTTGGATCTGAATATATTCTGTTTATTTTCGTGAAAAGCGTGGAAATAGCATTGAGAAAATCCAATGTTTTTTTGTCTCCCCTACAAACTTGCAGTATTATTGGGGTAATGCCAGTCAAATCTTGACTTTATTCCAGGAAGAGAGTAACCACATATTCTCTTCCATTGATGGGAAAAGCATAAACATTCCCCCAACTGGACAGCTAGTCCTCAAGAGATGTAATACCATGACTGCTTCTCCGGGACACAGAGAAGAGGTGGTTTTTCTCCAGAACAGGGTCTCCCTTCCCAACACTGGCACCATCTTCATTACCAGCCACTATAGTCCCTTCTCATCTTATTTCAAGAAAATTCCCAGTGCCAGACACTGGGACTCTAGAGGTGAATACATCATAGTACCTGCCCTTGAGAAGTTATTACTGTTGTAACAAAGTCACAAAAACAAGTGCACTAAAATATTTCTAGTGTGATGACTGACATATGTGTGGAAAACAGCAAGGGCACAAAAAAACATATTTTTAGGGACACTAACGGTGTCCCACGGAGGATGGGAGGCTTGAGTTATATGAGTAGGAGAGGTTCCTGGAGCCAAGGAGCTAAGTACACTCATGAAAAATCAGTGCAGTTTAGGGATTCTACTACTGGCATCACAAAACTGATGGCTATTACAGTAGTCCCCTCTTATCCGATATGTTCCAAGACCCCCAGTGGATGCCCGAAACCGAGGACAGTACCAAACCCTGTATATACTGGACACAAATCTCTTCTTTTTTCTTCACACTGTCAAGGATAGGAGACTGGTTCTTACCATACATCTTAGCAACCTCAGCATATGATTTTTTTTCTTTCCCTATTGAGAACTTTCACCTCTTCACTTAAAGGAAGCACTTTTAGCTTCTTTTTGGCTTATCCAAATTGCCAGCCTCACTCCTCTTGTGTTTTGGAGCCATTGTTAAGTAAAATAAGGGTTACTTGAACACAAGCACTGTGATACTGCAACAATCCAATTGGTCTGATAACCAAGTTGGCTACTAAGTGATTAACGGGCAGAGAGCGTATGCAGTGTAGAGATGCTGGACAGAGGGATGATTCACGTCCAGAGCGGGACGTAGCAGGACGGTGCAAGATTTCATCATGCTACTCAGAACAGCATGCAATTTAAAACTTATGAATTGTTTATTTCTGGAATTATCCATTTAATATTTTCTTTTTTTTTTTTTAAAGATGACCGGTAAGGGGATCTCAACCCTTGGCTTGGTGTTGTCAGCACCATGCTCAGCCAGTGAGCAAACCGGCCATCCCTATATAGGATCTGAACCCGTGGCCTTGGTGTTATCAGCACCGCACTCTACCGAGTGAGCCACAGGCCGGCCCGCATTTAATATTTTCTGACTGCCGTTGATCTTGGGTAACTGAAACCAGAAAAAGCAAAACCACAGATGAGAGGCGACTACTGTATAGGAATACAATTTTAACCTTTGCTACAGAGCTGGAAGAGATATTCAAGGGTACTACAAAAAGTTCATGGAAAAATAGAACTGGAAGATAATATAAATCTTTCCATCAACTTTTTGAAGATCCTGCATACAAGCAGACAATGAAGAAAGAAAGGGAAAAATAGCACAGAGAATAATAATAGTAAATATTTACCAAACAACTATTATGTGCCCAAACTCTGTTGAGAATCTTCACATAAACTATTGCAGTCTGACAAACCTGGCTGCCTCCTATGGTCTAGGCACTGACTGGCGACTGAGATGAAGGAGGCCAAATCCCCACCTTCAAGTGGCCCAAAGGCTAACAGGAGAAACAGTTATAAAACTAATATGGTAAGCCACACGAAGGTTCAAAGAGATACAAAAATAAAAAATTAAAAAAAAGGTTCAAAGAGATAAAGAGTCACTCTGCAAGTTAAGTGATGGAGCTGGACAGGGTTCAAATGACTCTAAATCTTGGGTGCTTCCTAAAG